GGCACTTATCGACCCACACAATCCTTGTAATATGTGTCTTAATATCTATTGTAATTGTTTGCAATTAGAATGTATGTCATTTTTAATTGCAGCTCTCTTTAATTGCTCTTTAATTGCACAGAGATTTCTAATGGAAAAATGAAGGTTCCACATAGTGATCAGTTTAGTGCACATTGAGTTTTAGTGTGATTTGGAAAAAGAAATGCTGCAGACATATTGTTTCCAGTTCTTCACATGCTGACATAAATGAAAGAAGAACAAAAAGACAAAAAAAAAAACGTTTTTAGCTTGTATTTAAAATTATACTAGAAGGTAAAATTACAAAATCACAAAGAAAGTTCACTTCAATATTGTATGGCTGAGAGGAAAAATCAGCATGTAACACTGATTTCAATGATAATAGAGAATATTTTGCTAGAATTTCATTAAAAACCTGTCATACACCTTTAATAATGATTCACTTATATTTTCACTTGTTCATTTAAGAACTATTTCCCTGAATAAAATTATTCTGTCTGGGTTTATGTTATGCAAACTGTGATAAAGCTCTTTCCGTAGAATTTACTGTAATTTGAGTTAAGTAGTAAAGGTCAGAACACAGTGGAAACTGGGGCTTCAATTAAAATTACTTCCTTCTAATCTAAATAACTCAATAAGTAATATGTTTAGAGCTGTCATCATATTGAACAACAAATCTTCACCTACAAGTAACCTTCACATTGAAGGAAGGAACGACGATGTTCCTTGTGAAACACACTGTTGCATTATATCTCCTGTTAGTGAAAGAAAATGAGCTCATATCATCATGATAGCACATTTGTGTTTTACTGGAGGTGCAATTTATGCAATATCTGATGCTACGTGATGCAAAAGATTGATTTTTCTTGCAAATGTTTTCAAAGAATATCCCACCTCAGGTGGAGTAGTTATTAAAAGAATATCATTATGTTATTTATTATTCTGTCCTTGGAGACATGGCAATTAATCTTCACTCCAATTCTGTCTTTCAGAATACTTGTTTCATTGAACCAGCACAGCAGCAAATTTCCCGACTAAGCAGATTTGACCTGATCTTCACATGAGTGTGGTCTTGGTGTTAGCTCAGGCTGTAACCCTTTAGACTCAAAAAGATACACCTCTGTTACAACAATATTGACGTTTTTACTTCAATACTGAAGTAAAAATGAAGCAAATGATTCAATTTTCATATTTTATTTAGTAATGAAATCACAAACTTTAATACAGGCCAATTGCTTATTCATAATCCTGGTATTTTAGGTGAATTTCAGTTTGGATCATATACGGTTGATTTTGAAACTCAGTATACTTACCAGGCTTACAGTTCAAGTTCTTTGTGGAATTTTAGCTAAAGTGCCTTGCAAAAGTATTCATCCTCTTCCAATGATATTTATCTTTGAAGAATTACAAATCATCCATCTATTTTAATTTGCTTATCCAATACAGGAGCGCAGGGGCAGTCGGAGCCTAACCTGGCAAGCAACTGCCGCAAGGTGGGATACACCCTGGATGAAATGTCAGTCCTTCACAGACCACAAAATGACGAATAATGTATAACTATTTTTTACAGTGAATATGTTTAATTAAAACTGAATGCTAAGACACTAAAGTAAAATGCAGACCACTTTTATGGGAGAAAGAAATTAAATTATTCGCCAAAAAAAGTTAGCTATTTTGATTGATTTGGTATTCACTCCACAGAATATTTGGCGAAAGCGCCTTAGTAATTGCAGCTATAAATCTTTTTGGAGAAGTATCTTCTGATGCTGCACACCAGGAAAATGAATATTTTGCTTACTTTTATATGCAAACTTGTTCAAGCTGTGTCATGTTGATGGGCAGCAAGTCAGGTCTCTGGTTCTTCCACTACAGGACAGTTTCTTTTTGAGAAGTCACTCCAATGTAACTTGTACCTTTGTCCTGAACAGACTAAAGCAGTTTTTCCTCTCAATATTGCCTGTTCTTCACTCCCACTATTTTTCCCTCATTTCCATGACATTGTTGATGAGAAGCACTACCATAACATAATGCTGCCACCACCACCAATCTTGATAGAAGGGATGATGTTGACTTGGAGACATGCTGTATTAGATGTAATACTATTGTATGCTCTTAAAATGAAAAGTTCAAATTTTGTCTGTTTTGGCCATAAAACCTTTAGGACACACTTGCAGTATCACTTAAATACTTGCATGTGGGATTTGAGATTTTTTCAGCAATGGCTTCTTTCAGCTTTTTGAAGTGACCAGAATAATAATAATAAAATTTATTTTATATAGTGCCTTTAAAAGCATCTTCTCAAATAACTTTAGAAGAAAAGTAAAAAAAAAAAACAGTTAAAACAATGAAAACAGTAGGATATTGGTGACTCATGGATATTTTCTTCCATCTTTGCCAAATAACTCTGTAGCTCTTTCAAAACATAGGCATCAGTGGAGTTTCCTGCTTGCCCAGCTGCTTAATTTTGGAGGCGCAGCTTGATCTGGGCAGTGTGTTGGTACCTTCTGCTTCTAATGGTTTACTTCATCAAAGGTAAACCATTCAAAGGGATATTTGGTGTAATTTTGTACCCTTATTCTGACGTGTGCCTTTTTACAACTTTATCACTGAAATGCTTTGAAATCTCCTTGAACTTCATGGTTGAATCACAGCTTGAAATTCAATACTTGATTGAGGAAGCTTACAGAAACGGCTGTATATACTCTGTATATACCCTGAAATCATTTGAACCACTATTATTTCACACATAGAAAGGTCATTCAACCAACACCATGGTTTGTCACAGCAGTTTTGTGCACTTAAATGAATTTTGGTGTGCCACAGCAAAGGGTTTGAATACTTATGCAATCAAGACTTTTTCATTTTTCATTCATATTATCATTTTACTTCTGATTGATTTTTTACTTTAAATGTTTGGAATAATTTATGTATACAGTATAACACAAATAAGTGGTTACTTCACCTGTCATATTGCCAAGCATTAAAACAATAAAATCTGAAAACTGATTAAGGGTCTGAATACTTTTGTAAGGTACTATATATACAGTATAGTGTGTGTACAGTTCACAGGAATACATGGGTCATCTGCTTCAAGCCATTTTGTAAAAGTAATACAACTGGCTCTTCATGCAGTCTGTCTAGATGAGGGAAAAATAAGGTTTAACAGCACTAAGTGCCTGAATGGCCAAGCCTCTTTTTTATCTCTAGGCAGCCTTCTTAGTTAAAGATCTATCCCCTGTTTTGATTTAAAGCACAACTTTAATTTTCTTAAATTTCCCCTGTATTATATATAGAAAACACTGAAAAATAAATATTGTTCTTCTGTCATTATTCTATGCAACATATAAAACATACATATTAATGAGGAGAGGAACAGGGCATGCCTGAAAAGGGCTCCATAGCCAAAACATTGTGTCTCTTTTCTTTTCCTCTCAGCATGGAGTAAATCTTTACCTGTTCCTTTGCAGCCTATGCATGCTGACAAAGCTACCTACTCAAATATCATATCAAAGGGTTTTTTAAATTTGTACTTTTTTCACTGTACTGTACTTTCTGTTGAATGACTGAGTAATAGCCCTAATCCCTTGTTGTTTTAACTAAGCATTTGCTTTAATTTGCCTGCATTTCTCTGAAACTTATCATCAGAGATAAAATAAATAGAATGCCTCATGTTAAAAGAGAAAAATATGTTGAATACATCAAAGCCAACCAAAAATGGACAAAAATGTGGAAACATCACATGCAAAAATGTTTTTCTTTTTTTTCTGACATTTTGTCAAAGAGCAAAACTTTAAAGTTTGGTTTGCTCTGTATCCTGCATGTGTTGCATATAAGCCCTTGCTTTAAGTCATTTTCAAGAAATGAAAATGAAAAAAACTAAGTGCTAACATATACCTAAAATAATTTAAACTACTGTATAAGACTAAACCTAAAAGTCTCTGAAAGAAAGCACATGTAATTGCCTTAGACAGTGTTAACAGTGTAACCCATTTCTAATAGCATAGTCAGATTGGGAAGGACCAGCAGAAAGGTTACTTCTACTCATGAGCTACAGCCAACTGGGCATCATCGAAGACCCATAAACCTGATTAGTTACCAGGCAACCTTAGCTGAAAGACTTACTGTGGTCTTTCCATGGCAGCATTGTCCTGGGGGACCATTAACAGCAATTTCAGAGGTTAAAGTGCTACTGCTTATTTTAGTCTCACTGTGCTACAACATGCTGACCACATTTTGGAACCTGTGCTCCACCCATGTTACAGGAAGACGAGGAATCTCTTATTCTTTCCACATGACAATGCTTTTCTCCAGAAAGCAAATGTCACTCATTACTCTCATGGCATTTTCATAGGAGGTTTTTAAATATATTTTTGTTCATGGTGGACACATCAGAAGCAGATCACTTTCATAAGGTGGTCCTGACTTCGACTATTTGAATGTAACCCTGATTTGTAATGCAACAATGAGTTCATTTGCTGCCATATCAACATTTGTTGTGGGTATCGCTAGTGAAATTACAAATTCAAATAGTGCAACAGCATTTTTCTGTTATTAGATACATTTCTTTCATTTCATGTGAATAACGAAGTATTCCATAGATGTTAGCGTTCAAACTGGCTATACAACGTCGTCTAAAACAAATAACAATAATGTGTTTTGAGATTAAATGTCTACAACAAAAGTACTGCTAAAGATAATTTTGAAACGGAATATGTGGGCCTTGTTGGAACACAAAATCACAAAATGCATCGAAAACTCTTAGCCTTATCTTACATAAGCTGAGACTGCTGTCAAAAAAGAAAATAAATCGTTTAAAGATGTTCGTTTTCAGTTTTATTAACTAAATAATTTTGTGAAATAAATGATTTATCGTTACGGAAAAGAACACCTAGTATCAGAAGTCGTATAGTACATGCAGTGCGCAATAAGCGACGTGGTCTACCTTAAAAGGCTGGCAGCTCTATTTCCTGGTTTGCTAGCAGTCGTCATGTGCGCTGTCAACATGGCGGGGACAACAAAGCTAGAACAATTTAAATTCTTACAAAAAAGAATTGGCTATTGTACACTTTTACTCCTTTTAATAACCATCTCGGCAGTGTTTGCATACCCGGGAGTCGAAAACAAAGTGCTTTCAGTTGCTGACTCCAACTGGACACTCATCCTTAAGGGTGAATGGATGTTAAAATTGTAAGTATGAAATATATGTATGATTAGAAAAGAAGGCGGGGTTTCCAGAACTGCAGTCATATTCAGGCCATTTTCCTAAAATCATTGTGTACAAATACGTTGTGCAAAATTAATTAAACGAACATTTGGGAATCCCAATTAATTGTACAGAACACCCTTTCGGAACTGTCGTACTGGTGGCTTTTTTTATCATTTAGTATTAATAACCAACAGTAGTACTAGTACGTATCGAAGGCGGAACTGCGCTCTATGATCATCAGCAATGCCCAATCATCTTTACTCATTTTTTAAAAAATGAAACATTTTGACAAAAGTGGAGGGAAGACATTATCTGCAGCAATGTCACTGTATATAAATGAAAATGTGTCCTCTTTCACTGACCCAAAAATTCGTTGTATATTTTATATATGCCGAATCGTATTTTATGCTTGAATTACTTTGACATACTGTAAGAATGGTTTTGCATTTGTTTTATTTTTTGAATATTGAAATTCAGATCCACAGATGGCCACGTGTCCAGTAGGTTCAATAGCAAGCGAGTCTGGTCAAGATTATCAAAATTACGTTGTCTTTTTTGTATTTGGGCTATGGTTTACATACAGGAATAAATTATAAGTAAAAGATAAGACATGCAACATCACTTACCCGTCACGTAAACTCGCCAGTTATTGTGTAGGATATATCTATAATTGTAATCGTAATGTGTCAAGTGTAGATTAAACATGCACTATGGGGCGATATACAATACTGATACGTAGTTATACATTGTATTTTACACACTGAAATGACAGTAAGATATTTGTCTCTTTTTGGAAAGCAAGGGGAAAACAATTTAAGATGTCTAATTTTAAGTGCTTTCAAACTGAAGAACCATGTCCATGTCAGATCTAGTGGTGTGTACATAACCTAATGCAAACAATATTCTTGGATCAGATGTATTAAGACTGTTTCTAAAGCTTAATGTTTGTTCTATGTAATACAAGGTTAAAAACACCTTGTAATTTATCACTGTCAAAATAGTGATTTGACATAGTAACGTATATTCTCTGTTACAGATAAAAACACACAGATTTTTTTTAATTGAAAATCATTAAAATGTGCTTCAATTTTCAGTTTTCCCCCAAGTGCCTAAGGCTCTTTAAGAGTTAACTCTATATGCAGTTCATGAGATTTGTATGGCCTATGGGTAGGTACTGTATGGCCAGTAAGTGTAATCTACACAGAAAGTAAACCATTAATTATTTGAAATTAGTGCCTTCTGGATTCAATTGATTTCAATGTTCACCCTTATATGTAATCTAGACTATAATGTCTGTGATTTCAAGAAAGACCTCTTTACTAAATTTCTGTCAATAAAAAACAATAGTGTGATATTATGTGTTTTTCTTGAGGCCCTGTATGATTGAGAACCCAATGTAAAAATTGGGAGGACTAGTGATTCAGTGCAGTAACCAGGCTCAGAAACTTTATTTGTATAAGACTAAGGTAAATTCCCAAAAAAGTTTAGCAAATTTACTCAGGGTAGATTTCAAATTTAACAATGTGAGTAAACCTGGATTATTATCAAGCCTCCCTTTATAAGACAAAGTATTGTCATATCGTAAATGTGTATCTCACATCTGTAACTTTGGCATACATTCAATGGAATAAAACTGCAAATCACAAAGTAAACACTATTCCATTAAACTACTACATCAATTTCCTACTATACTTTTTGTAATAGCGCAGTTGTCATTTTTTGTTTTGCACATTACATTTCATTTAATACAAACATGTGGGATAATTCAATATCTTTTTAAAATGTACATTTTTGGTCCCAGTCAGCATCTTACTAATACTAAATAACAAGATGGATTAAATATAATGATTGTATCTTGTTTGTAAAGATGGTCAAAGCTAAATTAGCTTGTTGCTAACAGTATGCTTGTTCTTGATTGAATGTAATGTAGATGTATCATATTAATCAGCAAGTCACATTTAAAATGTGCGCTCAATCACATTTTAGTACTGTAAATTCCTGTTTTATTTGTCCAATTCATTATGTGCTACTTTATTCAGTCATAATGAGAAATTACCTCTTCACATACAGTCATGTGAAAAAGAAAGTACACCTTCTTTCAATTTTATGGTTTTATATACACTGTATCAGGACATAACAAAAAAAACATCTGGTCCTTAACGTCCTAAAATTAGGTAAATCTAACCTCAGGTGACAAACAACACATAACAGATTCCACTATGTCATTATTTTACAAAAAATATACCAACATGCAGAAACCATGTTTGAAAAACTAAGTACATCCCATGATTCAGTAGCTTGTAGAGCCACCTTTAGCATCAATAACTTGAAGTAATCATTTTCTGTATATTATCAGTTTATCAATCTCTCACATCGGTTTGCAGGAATTTTGGCCCACTCTTCTTTACAACATTACTTCAGTTCATTGATGTTTGAGGGCTTTTGTTTATGCACAGCTCTGTTAGGGTCCCACCACAGCATCTCAATAGGGTTGAGGTCTGGACTTGGACTTGGATATTCCAACACCTTGATTCTTTTCTTTTTCAGCCATTCAGTTGTAGATTTGCTGGCGGTGTGCTTGGGATCATTGTCCTATTGCATGACCCAATTTTGGCCAAGCTTTAGCTGTCGGACAGATGGCCTCACATTTGTCTCTAGAGTACTTTAGTATAAAGAGGAGTTTATGGTCGACTCAATGACTGCAAGGTGCCCAGGTCCTGTGGCTGCAAAACAAGCTCAAATCACCACCCCTCCACAACCATGCTTGATAGTTGGTATGAGGTGTTAATGGTGATAAGCTTTGTTTGGTTTTCGCCAAACACGGTGTTGTGCATAGTGACCAATCATCTCCACTTTGGTCTCGTCTGTCCAAAGGACATTGTTCCAGAAATCCCGTGGTTTGTGCAGATGCAACTTTGCAAACCTAAGCCATGCTGACATGTTCTTTTAGCCTGTAGATCCCTAGATGTAACTCTTGGGTTCTTTGCAGTTTCTCTGAGCATTATACGGTCTGACATACTGTAGGTGTGAATTTGCTGGGGCTCCCACTCCTGGGAAGATTGGCAACTGTCTTGAATGTTCTCCATTTTTAAATAATCCTTCTCACTGTAGAATGATGGATTTCAAATTGTTTGGAAATGGCCTTATAATCCTTCCCAGATTGATGAGCAGCAACAACTGCTTCTCTGAGTTCATTGCTGATGTCTTTTCTCCTTGGCATGGTGTTAACACACACCTGAGTGCTCCAGATCACCAAACTGCCAAATGTTCTACTTTTATAGAGGTGGTCACACTGCCTGATCAACTAATCAAGTGCATTTGGTTAGCAGCACCTGGCTACTAATTAGCTTCTTAATTCCCATGGAAGCAGTAAGGGTCCCACGTGGTTTCTGCATTTTGGCTTACTTTTTGTTGAATAAATAATGACATAGTGTTTCTGATAACATTGCCATGATATCAATCAATGTAATCAATGTACATGTAATTAATGTATATATGCTGTATGTATATTTATAATGACATTTAACCAATAATTATGTCCAGAAGTTGATGTGGTACATTAATAAAATAATTTATTAAAATGCTGTTTGTAATAAAGCTTTTTGTATTAGACAACATTTGAATTTGTCAAAATGTGTAGCAATAATGCAAGTTCTATCCAAGAGGAAAAAAAAGGCATAATAATACAAATGTATGTCTTGTGGTGTTATAGCCTGATGAAAACACTGAGAGCAAGCAGACACAAACACTACAAGGCATAAAGTATTAAACTGGCTTGTGGTGAAAAATTCAATTTTCTTTAAAAACAAAAATAACAAGGTTAGGTTTTGCGCATTGATATAAAGTCATTTAGAGTCACAGAGTGGGTTCGATTTTTCAAAGCAGGGATGAATAAATGTTCTGTTTCAGTTTTCTACAGGAGAGAAGAAGCATTTAATTTCACCCTTTGGAAAGCACTGCATTATGTTGCCCTGAAAGTAATACAGATGAAAGTGATGAGACCCGCAGCTTATAAAATTGCTTATGCCACTCTTGTAAAGCTAAATTTAGTGAGATATTGAGGTATTCATGAATCTTACTAGGAGAGCGGTATATAGCAATGGGTGTTCTAACACCATCATATATTCTAATCATTGCCTAAACCATACCATACAGGTACTGTAGGGCTAAACCACATCCTAACTTGTAATCTTGACATACTACATTCATTAAGTATATATAAACAATAAAACAATATAAGAAACAATATCGCCTTTTATAACGCAGCAGTTTACTCAAAAGCCACTAGTGTTTTCTGCTACAGAAACAACATTGACTGATATATTACTCCTGTTTAATTTGTGTAACTATACATAATCAGACAGTATAAATTGTTTTGTAATTCGTCTCATTTAACATTCACATATAATTTGTTCTTTGTCAGGTATTCTTAACATTATTTCATTCTTTTGTAACATTCACAAAGCTGTAAGGCTGCATTTTGTGGAACAAAATATGGATATGTGTAGGAATAATACTGAGTGAACAGAGTAGACCAATGTAAAATATTTAAAACTTTTTACAGCAGTGTAAATATATTTTTAATAAAAGTTTTCCAATTGTGCTTGGGTATGTCTTATGCAGACTTAAATATATTTTTAATACCTCATACTGTACAACAAATGTTGCCAGTAAAGAGGTGCGAGGCTTCCTTTTTTAAACTACATAAAATTAAACTTGTAAACTAAAGCTAAAATTATATAATATGCTGTTGTAACAGAATATTATCTTGTATTATATTAGAAAATGTTAACTGTCATGCATATTTTCTGAAATGACTCTTAATATTTTCAAAGTGTGAGGAACCATCTTCTGGTGCATAGTTTTGTATGATTTTTCACTTAATTGTAACATCTCTGCATTTAGTATTTCATACCAGTTTTATTTAATATTTCTGAATTATATGTACAGTAGTTTTATGTTGAATATATGTAGTTTTATGTAGATTGTGCAAGTGTAAAATGAAAGCCTTTTGTTATCCTTGCATTTTATTTTGCTGCTTCTAAGTATACTAAAATAATGAATATAGTAGACAGAAAATACAAAAATATTATCCAATCTTTTGTTCAAATATAAATTGAAAAGACTGCATATACTGTATATGTACTAAAATGTGCACACATACAGTACAAAGTAAAATGTGTATATATATATTTTAAAATATGCAGATTATTTATGCAATGGATTTCTTCTAAAGTTATTAAAAACATATTTGAAGAAGATGTTGAACATACTGTATACACTCACTCGGTGGTGTAGAAAAAATGCAGTATATTCATTTTGCTTTTTCCTGTCCCTCTTGTGTGTCCTGATATAGCTATGCACCTTGGTGTCCAGCTTGTCAGCAGATCCAGCCTGACTGGGAGGAGTTTGCAAAGCAGAGCCAGGCTCTTGGCATCACTGTGGGGAAGGTAGATGTGACACAGCAACCAGGTGCAGTGGAACTCTTATGGTTTATAAAGATTTCAAATTTCATGGTTGGTCTGATGTTGATTCATACTTCATGGCAGTCTTTGGAACCATGCTTTACCTAATTTTTGTTCAATTTTACATGCTGATAGTATTAAACAGCTGCTGTCTGACAACAGTGAATGAGTGTTGCTGAGCAACCCTTATCTCACTAAGCAATAATTGAAGCCCTATGGTTTGTGGTGTAATGTAGTCCAGTGTCCTCAGGTTATCCAGAATTGTAGTTAACCGATTAGTGCTTTCCTGTGCTAATCTACTGTATATGCATACTGTATTAGTGACAAACCATTTAATTCAATCCATGATTATATTGTTGAGACATGATGTTGTTACCAAGGTGCTACCATAACTCCAAAAGAATCCTGCAAAAGGTTCCACAGTTTATACAAAGTAAAATAATATGGTGTGCTGATCAATTAAGAAGACACTGGGACAATTTATAAGGCCTTTTCAGGAGGAAGAACCTCTGTTTGAGGGTCGCACACATTTTTTTTAAAGTGCTGGTTGTCATGTTGATTATGCAGGCCTCTTTTGTTCTTTCATTGCTTACCCTACTAAAACTGAATTAGCATGTAAGATATATATATATATTTATTTCCTTAACTCAACAGCTAGTCACAAATGACTATCCCAGCACTTGAAATCAAAAATGATTAATGGGGTATCACAAATAAAGATTCTTTTTGCATTTGTTCCAGCATACTTTCTTACTCTGTAATAATGTATGGTTTCGGGTTAATAGTCACCAAAACATATCTGTATTTCTTTAAATTGGATTCAAAAATGGTTTGAAGTGTTTAGGGGATTATGGTTTAATTATTTATTTAAAATATGAAAAACAAAATGTAAAGTGTAAGAAATTAGTGAATAATAACAACATTTAAAGAGATTATGACTACTGCAGTACGGTCAGAAGATAGCCCAGTTTATGCATCTATCTGCTGTATATAGCAGATTTAGTCAGATTGATTGGATTGAGATTAGAACACGTTAATCTAGATTGCAGTGTAAGAGAAGAGCAAAATCAGCTAAATCTGATAAGCGAATCCCTCATTGCACCAAATTGAATCAGATTAAAGATGGTCCTGTCAAGTAGATTCATTTAATACTTTGCAGGATAAGACTAATTTATTAGAACAGCTTGTCTGAACCATTTACTAGTACTTTTCATACACAGTTGCCTTTTTTCCAATAAAATTTAAAATGAAAAATTACAATTGATTTTGTTCTTGTGTCAGTTACTTTATGGCATCTAGGTCCCAAGGTACAAAATACACTGAGAAGCAATAAAAGAATGATATTCTGAGAGTGAAATCATTTTGTTATGACATGAAGGGTCATATGACAGATATTTGGTGTCGTTCATTTTATCACAGCAATAAGCATAGGAGTCATGGAGTCATTTGGCCCTGCCTTGCATGCTTTCTTGCTCTGGAAAGGACCAGGGGCAGAACTACAGAACTCATGGCCATTTCAGGAGTGGCTGAGGTGGTGCAGAATGTTTCCTGAAAGTTTTATTAGGAGAAAAAAGAAACTGAGATGAAGGATCTGTTCAGCATCCATGACCAAGGGTTCATGGATCGTACGAATGATGTACTGTATGTTCCAGGTGTCGGGACCAAGTAAATTCCAGTAGCTCATTGACAAGATTCACAAACGGCAGAAGCAGTTTGAAAATGGCTGTGTTTCTCTAACAGCAGAAGATACAATTATTCTCAGTTGGAGAATGTTACTTTGAGAGATGTCCTCCAGCAGTGACTCAGATTAATTAGCTGTAGATCAGCCAGGCTGAAAGTGAATATGCATTTCTGAAACAACTAAAATAGTTAAGCAATAAATTGAGAAAGTCTTGTTGCTACAGACAAGGCTTAAGAATCTGCATTACACATGCATAGAACTCTGTGGTGAACTGAAGAAGACGAGTGAGGCCTTGAAGGCTAAAGACCAGCAGAGAAAGAACCTAGAGTATAAAATGGCTCCATGGGAGATGGTGGGGCATGACAGAGAGCCATTGCCACCAGGGGAAGAGTGACAATGGAATGTGACATTGTAGCCATGGCCAGACCCTGTAGGGGAGAGAAAAGAAAATAAGAAAATCTTCTATTTTCGTGGAGTGAACCTCCAGAGGAATTACTATTACATAGTAATACGTGTGTGATAATTGTGGCTCTCATAAGCTCAGTGGCGGAGATGGGAGCACACGTCATGGGTCAACAATATCTCAGTCACTCCATAAAGGAGGCTTGTAAGGAATGTAAAAAAAAAAAACAAATCCCACATGGAGTTTTCAACAAAGCAACTATGTAGTGCAGCAGGTATACTGCAAACGCTTTTGTGGTCAGACAAGATTAACTTGGAACTGTCCATTCATTTCCCAGTACAAGGTTGAGGGGGAGTCAGAGGCAGTCCAGGCAAGCAACTGGTACAAGGCAAGATTCACCTTGGATGGTACAGGCCACACATAGATGCAAACACACATAAGATCATACCAAGGCCAGAGTTTCCTAGAAGCATATTAACTTACCAGTATGTCTTAGGTCTGTGAACAAGGAGAGAACAAACAAACTCCACAGAGATAGCACCCCAGGAATCGAACCCAAGGCCCTGCCCTGTGAGGCAGCAGTGCTAACAACTGAACACTGTACCTCCACTTAAATTGGAACTTATTGATCTAAATGTAGTGTTACATCTAATGTATACCTAACAGTGTCACTTAATACTGTATCACTCACTGTATCAACACTTATCCCTACTGTCATGTATGGTGATGGTAGTATTATATTATAGTCCCATGTCTCAATATGAGGTCAAAAGCTTGTCAAGACTGGTCGCAACATAGATGGAGCAGAGTATTGTCAAATCAGGGAGGAAAACTTGCTTAAGACCTGAAACTTGAACAAAAAATACTATACTTATTTAAGTCAAATAGGGAAATACATAATAAGGTGAAAGTTTTGCATAAGTGTCTTAAGAATTACAAAGTGAATGACCTTGAATGGCCAGTCATTCAGTCAAAAGTCATGCCTTGAATCTTAAAGATAATCTGTGGAAAGACTCGAAAACTCCTGCCCAGAAGCAACCTTCAAGCAATGTGAGGTCAAGCAAATTTGCTGAGACGACAAAACGTGCAAAAATTGCACCACGCTGTAAAGATGATGCAAAGATGGTAAAGATTCAACCAAAAAGGGTTTGTATGTAATATTTTGTGCAAGCACAGGTCAAAATATTTATGCAATCAACTTAATTTTTTTCCATTTAGTTTTTGCTGAAATTTTCTGTAACATATCCTTGTAATTCTTCTGTCTGAGCAATCTGGTTTTGACTAAAATACTAAGTTAAAAAAAATATATGCATCATTTTGTAATTGTAACAAAAAGGGACACCATAGGAAGGATCTGAATAATTTTAAAGTTTAAATTTAAAATAGACTATATGGAGTTTCTTAACACTGAAGAGCCTTTTCCTGACATAAAAAAATAGAGAATGTGTACAGTACATGGACTTTACTGTGAACTACATAAGCCATTTATAAAATGAGATGTATGCATATTTTAACAGCGATACTGGGTTGGTAAATTAATGATACTTATAATTATGTTTTTAGTGTGAGCTACTGTTTGATGCAGTACCTTTAGTCCACTTCAATTACTGAAAAGCATTTCAGCAATATAGCCATTTCAGATGCAGTAAAGCTGAAGTCATTTATAATTTAAATGACAGATTCATCAAATACTAAAGTTGTACTGCAAAAGATAATAGACCTCAAGAAAATCAGAATTCAGTGCATTTGATTTCTTATCTTTAACAACAGAAAAATGGAGCTATAAAATTACTAAATGGGGGGGGAATGAGTTCATTTCTCATCTTTCAGCAGCTTAACTGGTGAAAGACCTGGAAAATTGTAAAATCTAAGACTAACACTTTACTTTTGGAAAGTACGAGTGGTCTTATTAAGGGCTTTCAGTAGTTTAGATTACTTATTAATTGTGAAGTGCGTTACCTTATGATTGAAAACAGTGCAGAAGGAGTTGATTAAATTATTTTTCTTTTAAATGTTGTGTAATTTTAAAGCGAGATAAAATAAGAGTTACTGTGTCTTTATTATAAGTGCTTTAATAGGTTTTACATTTCACTGTAATTAAAAGATGCATACAGGGTTTTTCAGAGACTATTTCTATTTCTACTACTCCTATATCTTCCATTTCTTTTCCTTGTGAGATTACATCTTTCAGAACAGCAAAATTTAGCAAACCACTGCTACAATATTTTCGCAAATAATGATTAACTGCAAGCCTAAACTTTAGGCATTATTTATAGTATGCATGTAATGATTACTAGGTTTAGAAGATTTACCATTTTAAAATTAACATTTATCTTTGTGTTTACCTAAGTTTTCAGGGGATGATAAAATGATTTATTAAATATGAAAGAATATGTAAACAGTACTTAAGCACCTTAAACGAATTTCCCCTTATATTTTTTGCTAATTCCTAGGCTACTTTTGTCCATATCAAAGCAATGAGGGAAGTGGCAGTGAAATCCTAATTAAAAATATGTTCTAGAAGTCCTGCTGTGTTACAAATGCTTTGTGTTAATACCTGCTGGAGAGCACAGCTAAAACTACTATTGGTTTAAGAATGGTTGGCACCAAATTTTATAATCCCTCAGGACACCTGCAGAATTTTTACACACATTACTAACAGCTCTGTTAACATTTTACTCACTGTGATTCTCACCTGTCATGTGGAGATCGCACGGAGAACACCTGATAGATGACGTGGCTAATCTAACTGTAGACCAGACCTTGGTTAGTAGGGTTTGTTCATGGACCCTCACAGACTTTGCTTAAACTTAAGGACAAGAAAGTCCATATAGGTCCTAGAAATAATTCTGTAAGCTAACTCACAGAGACATGCCTGAATGATAGAGTAAGGTATACATTCAAGCTTAGTCCTATTCTTGTAGGATGTTTGCAGGCATTTATGGTATTATTACACAGATAGGGCTCAATAGTCTTCATAGCCAGTCTACTCATCTAATTTATTTTCTGCAGAGCAGGCAGTTTGTCAGAATCCTGCTTCTGTATGATTATTATTGAAAGAATCCCTTATGGCACTTGACAAGAAAAGATTACTTCTTCAGTTACATGTCATAAAGTGCTAAAGTCCTTATTTGGCAACTATTATTTCTGAGCTAAGAATGTTTTTTTTTTCCCTTATAAGTAAGGATTAGCATCACATTCTGAGATATTAAGTAGCTGAAAAAGATAACGTATTGTAACATGGAATGCAAACATAATTTTGCACTGTTCTGCTATACATTTTTCCTTCTTTAAGCAAAGAAAAACAATTTTTTGATGATCGTAATTTTGAAATTTCTATAAATCCTTTAGCCGTGTTGTTTTAAATTTACAGTTAATCCTGATAGACATGCATTATGTTATACAAACAGTTTTATTTGAACTTTTTTTTAAATTAATAATGCTTATACTGGGGATCATCTGACAATGAGTGAATTAGATTTGTTTGGTTAATGTTATCTGCAACACTTTATACAGTATCTGCTGTCATATTTAATTAACCTTGACTTATTTTAGATTTTGTTTACTATGAATTTTTAGTTATATGACAAGCTGGGTTTCTTCTCATCCAAACTAAGCTTAAGTATATAAATATTAGTCAAATGTGTTATAATAACACAATTAGAGGCCATGGATAATTTTTATGCTATATGTGATTACTATGGATTGTGTTTTAAAATGTCTAAGATTTCTGCAAATCAGCATATTAATATAATATACATATTCAGCATAATGTCACTTGTGTCATTATAAAGTACAGCTTTTGTAATAGAATGGTACTTAATTTAATGTAGGGTGTCTTTTGACTGTGTAGTTTCAGTATCGGCAGACACATCCTTTTCCTTCCTGATGTTACATTTTCAAATGAGTTACTGTAATAATGTCATTGGCAATGATAGTGCCATTATCCTTGTACATTATCCATCAATAATAAAATAAGTGTTCCTCTATTTTCTTGTTATATCTTTTCTTGTGCATTTGTTATTGTAAGCATTGTGTTTGAACTCTGGTGTTAGATTAGAGTTCACCATTAATTAAATATTTCAGCAAAAAATTAACTTTTAAAATATAATCTACAACTTCAAGTAGGTAGCTGCGTCAGTCTGAATACTGTAGGCTGCAAAGGAACAAGTAAAGGTTTATTCCACGCTGAAAAAAAGAAGAAAAGAAACAGTGTTTTGGCTGTAGAGCCTTCTTCGGGTGTCACAGCCAAAACATGAAAGTTAAAAATCTGTGATATTGGAGTTTTAAGGTCCATTCATAAACATGAAAATTGAGTTAATTTAGCATTTGAAATAGCCGTAGCAAAACTTTAAATTTGGCATAAATATGGGTTTATTCTAACACAGCTTTGGAATCCTGAGGTAGAGATGCAGCATTTTCTACCATAAATGTTTTCAAACTATATTCGATTTTGGGTTTGTTTTGAAAGGCATTATGTCAAACCATCCAGCATTTTTACCTCAGACATCTTTTCTTGGTTATGTTATATTTATCCATTATTCTCTGTTTATTCTTTATTTGGTTTATAAATTCAGGTTAAAATAAAAGATTTGCAAATTGATGGAATTGATCTTAAATATTTGAAGCACATTTGTTGTGGAACGTGTATTTTAAAACCCTAAAGTTTAAATAAAACTGTCCCTGTACAACATGCCATTTTAAATGTGGAATAAATTTGTTCTCTTATGATTACATAAATACCCATCTTATGCTTGCAGTAGTCCTTGAATGTAACCTCTTTCCAGTCAGCAAGTTTGAACACAAAGACGTTACATGACAAATGCCTTATTGATAGCCTTTTTTCTGTGGATAATTGCTACTTTTGAATTGAACTATTAGGTGCAGTGGGCCTGTAGAACCATAATCATATTACAGCTGAGCCATCAAGAGGCTGCTGTACTCCCACGCTGATTAAATATTAAACTTTTTAGTTGCATTCCAAAAAGTTTCATTCCACACATTTTAATTAATGTTGCTTTATTCATTTGTCTCAGGTTTGAGTGGAAGATTTCTAGTCACAACTCTGCCAACAATTTTTCAGTAAGTCTTTTCATATATTCTACTTGCCATTGAGAGTTTGTGAGTACACAGATAATAGGTCTTACTGTTTTGAGTACTGTACTGTATATGAAGAAATCTTCCCAGGTGTGTCTTGCATATTTTGAGTTTTATTCACAAGCCCTTCTTCATGTGAGATGTCATAGCTGAACAGAAAAAAACTTGGAACAACAGGGTTTATATTTTTATTTTTAGAACTTCAGTATAAAAAGCCATTTCAAAAATATTGAAAGAAGTGTTTCATCCTACAGTATGAATAAGCTTTCATACAGCAAAGTCAATCCACATAGGAACAATAGGTAAACTGAAAATTAAATTTGATCATCTTTTTATTTAGACAAGGTAATATTCCTAATGATACTCGTGCAATAACTGATTTCCTTTTGAACATATTATACAATAATATTCTTACTAAATGTTTCTGTAGTCCCTCAGATTTTTTTCAACCTTTTCTTTTATACACCCGGTCACAACTGTTACAGTGACATTTCTCTACTGTTCATGAAAAGGTATCTTAATATTCTTATTTAACTTGCTGTAATCACTTTTATTACTTTTCCTTACTTATGTTTCCTATTTTTTCAGTACAAAGGATGGGAATTTTCGTAGGTATCTGTCTTCGAGAGCCGTGGAAGATCTTCAGAGTTATATTATAGAGAAAAAGTGGGAATCGGTGGAACCTATACCGGGATGGAAATCTCCTTCTTCCATTGTGTAATTTTCAGTTTTCTCCAATTTTCAATTTTGTGCTTTATTTTAATTCAGTTCAAAGTGTATGAAACATAACTTTGTTCACACACAGTACATACCAGAACGCTATATGTTTATGTTTCATTCTGTTAATTTTATATTTCCCAGGGAAAAAGTAATGTTTGGGAGACCTAAACATACATAAACATACATACATAAATGTACATACTGTATAAACAGGATCATGCCAAACTAAGAAAAAATTAATATTTTGCTACCAGAGATATTGCTTCAGATTTAAAAGATAGACTACAGATTAAATTTCTTTCTTGAGTCTGGGTAAACAGACACCTCCTGTCAGCACATTAGGTGTACTGACAGAAGATACAGTGTCACCAAATAGCATAAATTAATTACCATTCAAATAGCTATATTCTGAGTAACAATTGATTTGTTGTTATGCTTTGTTTACCTATTTTCAAAATAAAATAATGAATATGAATATAGAAAAAATGTTTTAAATGTATGCAAATAGCCCTACATCCATTAATCTTTTCCTCAGTCCACCTTACCTTTTCCTGTGGCCAGTTAACTGTTTTTGAATTAGCCCTGGTGCTAAACTCACATCATATTAATGAATGGTGTTCAATAATCTGTTGGCCTCTGGATGAACCTCCTGTAGTGTTGATTGGAAAAAAAATTGTATAGTACCGCTATACAATTTGTACAGCAGTGATATACTGTACATTTACCTCACAAGAGACATAACCAGCAGATGTCATAGAGGAAATTATAAGATTATGAGAATCTAATTTACAATAACACTTCACATAAGAATTTCAACATTTACCATTAGGTATACTGTAGCTGTAACATACAGTAATGTGATGTTTTATAGCATTAGAAAAACTGAAGCTATGTTTTTTAAGTATATCACTGTTAACTTCAGAAGCTGAAAAGACCTTGGGTATTTATCTGAATGAATCCCTTAAAAATCCCTTATTCTTATACTGTAGATTTCTCTCAGGTATACATCACAGATATCCCAGGACCATTTGCCAGAACAAACAGAATAAGCAGCTGGGTTTTGGGGTATAATCTGTCGTTTAGTGTTAAGCATAATTTTTTTAAGTAGACATCATGCTCATTAGTGTCTAATAGTTAATTAACAGTTTTCTCTTCAGCTTAGTTAATTTTAAAACAATCAGCTAGAAAAACATTTAAGGTGGGGTTGGCTTGTCAGTAGGAAGAGGTAATAATGGAGAACCCTGCTGATGTACAGCTGGGAATTTGTTAAATCCTGCTTTATGACTCAACTGATCTCTTTTTCCACAGGATGACAGGAATGGCTGCTCTCTTTCAACTTTCTGTTTGGATTAGAGTACGTGAGTTCTTTTTACTGTTTTATACTGTATATTTTATTTTCCAGGACTGAATTCTACAAAAAACTTCCTCTGTACCATAGCTAAAATCAACCTCATGAAGTTAGGAAGCAAATTCCCTGATTCAAGTTTGTGATTACATGTAATATGTAATGGATTTGTCACTAAACTTCACATAAGTACAAATTCTTTGAGTTGTTTTTCCAAATATTTTTCATAATCATAATCATAATCATTCAGCTGTATTACTATGGTTTTTATCTGGTTGTGGAAGAGTACAGGAGCAGGTAAACATGCTAATTGCAAACAGTTACTCAAGTGCTATACAGTAACTACATTAAGTGCCTGTATACTTGTCAAAGACTAACACCACCAGTATCAACATTGAAATATTAGTATAATAATAAGTCTAGTTTATTTTTTTCACAAAAAAGTCTCATTGTTCCATTCCACTTTTCAGAAGGGATATGGACGATCTTTTTATGTACTGAAATGCATTATAAATGCAACATTTGTTTCAATACTCATTTGTTTATTATTTCAGTATTAAATATATACATTTCAATATTAAATATGTATATTATATCATATATTGTTACAAATAGGGGTTAAGAAAATAGAAAAAATAAAGAACTTGTGTTCTTGTGTCTATAATTATACCAACTGCTCGGGTATATTCCTGGCAAAATAATACACAAGTTGGGGTTATTTTAATTATTGCTTAATCTGTCCAGCTCATTTTCTGAAATTAAGCATATCTTGAATGAAATTAATTATTTCTTCTTTTGTTTACTACTGTTTTTTGATAAAATGCACTTCCTCTTCTTGCATCCAGCTGTATAAAACTTTCAAATCATTTACAAAATCTCAAAGTGTCCTATTAAAATATATTTTTCCTTTAACAATTATTGGTAATATGAATAGTAAGCTCATAATAGTAATAGTAAGAATATACAGTATAACATTTCAACTTAATGTATGCTTTTTAAAGTGTAAAATTGTAGATTATATACAGTATTGGGTTGAAGTATGATTGTGCTCATGTATTTATTAATATAATATTTTAATCAGTGCCCTTATAATATTGTACAAATAATTAGTACATAAATATAATATGCTTGATATTTAGCTGTTAAATCAACTGTTTATTCATGGTTGTTTTCTTTTCTGTAGTATTTAAAACTAAGTGCTCATTTTTGCTTTAACAAAACAAAATGCACAAGTTTGACTGCTTGAAGTTTTATCCATTCCCAACACAGATTCACAAAAAAGATCTAAAGAACTGATGTTCTAGAAATCCTTCAAACATTTTAATCTGCCCTTTTGCAAAAATCAATATATGCAAGAGGCATTTTGATGTTAAAGCGGTGATTTACAGCTGCATTTTCCAATTAAATGTATTTCTTAATGGAAAATGTGTTCTTTCTCTTTGGTGTTATTTCTGTTAAGAGTGTTATTTCATACTTTAATCAGCATTTGAGAAACAGCTTGTGAAAAGACACATCTAAGCTTCTTGGCAGAATGTGTACAAGGCAATAAAATCAGTGCTGCCTTCTACCTTTCTGCACAGTGGTAAACGTTATCTTCTTTGGCTTAGCTTTGAAATAGCTTTTTTATTTGAAATCTTCCAAACATTCTCTGGAAACAGTGTATAATATTTATAATATACAATTTAAGTTATAAGTACTTTTCAAGAAACTCAATGTGATACAAAACAATTACATCACACAGAATTTGTAAAATGGGAAACACTAACAAACATACTGAATAACAAATGCCACATAAGTCCTGTACGATGAATCTAGATGAAACAATGAATTAATTTGTTATTGTGTGCACATTAACATTTCACCTTTTCACCATTTTACCTTTTATTTATTTTTCTAATAGCAAATTCACAGCTACATGACAGAGACACTTGGTCTTCCAGTTTGGGGATCTTATCTCACCTTTGCTCTTGTTACACTGCTAACTGGACTGCTCCTTGGACTGGTATGTGAAACTTTGCTTTGAATATATTTGTGACTGAGTATTTAAAGCATGCTGAAATCCTGTGATGTTTTGTCATCATGTTTCAACAAAAGAGATTTTACTCTATATTCACATAACAAAGCAGACTATGTTTCAAGCCAGGATTGTCAACTATACTGTGCATATATTATCACAAATAGAATGTATTATTAATAGGAAATACTGGAGATGTTCAGATGTCATTATAATTGCAATTAGTCAGAAATCAAATTAATTATCACCTGTTATTTCAGGGTAGTGTGTATTGGAAACTTAGTACTTCTTTAGTGTGGTAGAGTAGGGTTTCAAAACTTGTGAGGGTTAGGTGTTTAAAACATTTGGAAATGTTTGAATTTGCTAATACCCCAACATGGTAAGATAAGATCACTTTATTAGCTACAGTGCCTTGCGAAAGTATTCGGCCCCCTTGAACTTTTCAACCTTTTGCCACATTTCAGGCTTCAAACATAAAGATATAA